AGCATTTCACTCTTTCTCTCTCTAACACAGTAGAATAGCGCATTGTTGATTTGTGAAGATTTTATTGTACAATATAGATATGTGTTTTCTTGTGGTAGGTCAAGATGGAGTTGGTAATGTTTTTGACATTTAGACCAAGATGGAGGAGAATGATGTTGAAAATCCACTTTTCCTCTCTACTTATTATTACTTGTGGTGACTAAATGGAACGACTATTTTTTTTAGACATATCTTGATGAGTTTAAAAATAAAAAAAATCATATCATAGGAAAAGAAATACATTAATTAAAAGATAAGAAAAGTTGAAAGTAAGAATTGTAAAATCGTATTAGACGGCGTATCAAATAAGTTAGTAGTATAGTAGTTTGTTGTTAATGTGTGAACTAATCATTTTGAATCAATAAAAATTTACTTCATCTAGAACTTTAACAATCCAATTTTTGAATTGATATGATCAATACGATGTGATTTAACAAGGTTAAAAGCCGGCATCATACATCCAAACAGACAAAGCAACATTAGAGAAGACTTACGAGGCAACATCATGCATTATTGAAAAAGGACAAATAGCTAGTAACGTCCAACAGCCAACCGGTTGCTGATGATAAACCAAAATCAACATTGTGACTTCAATTATTTATGAACGAGCAAATCTTGTTGACCAAAACGGCAGCGTTTTCACAACCAGCATTCCACAAGTGGAAGACATGCTGCTCGCCTTCAGTCTCTACCATCTCAACCTCTCCTTTCCACTCGCTCCCCTTCAGCAAATCGAAATAGTGCTTCCCTCTCTCCCTCAAGAAATCCTTCTCCGCCAACATCACAAGCACCTTCGAGCAACCAAGCCGGGCCAGGTCCGGGTCAAAAGCCGGGTTCAAATATGGGTCGTCCAGCCCTGCTGTTGAACTCGGGCAAACCAGCTTCCAGAACCGCTCCCCCCAATCGGGCACCGGAACCGGCTCATTCCCGACCGGTTCCTTCCCAGCGAAATATGGGTGGACCATAACCAACCCGCCCAGCCGCGGGACCCCCTCCACCTTTTCGCGCCCGTACCTAATTGCCACCTGGTGGACTATGTTAGCCCCTGCACTGTCCCCTGCCAGAAACACGGAGTTAAAATCCGCGTGATCATTGAGCCACTGCTCTGGGCCGCCTCCTTCAAAATGAGAGGCGGCCCATTTGAGGGCGGCCCACGAGTCCTCGTACGCAATTGGTACGGGGTGCTCGGGGGCTCTCCTGTAGTCCACAGAAACCGCTATCATGTTGACCGCCTCGACCAAGGTGTTGAGGTGGTTGTGGTAGGTGGGGGAGAAGGCCGTCTCGATGACGAAGCCACCGCCGTGGTAGTAGATCAAGAGAGGGAGCTTCTGGCCCGGTTTGGTTTGCTTGGGGAGGTAGAGCCGGGCGACGAGATCGGGGTCGTGGGAGTAAGGGACGTCTTTGGATTGGACGGCGGTTTTGGGGTCGTCTAAAGAGGCTGGCACGGTTTGGGTGCCCATGAGGCGCTCCACGACGCCATCTCTGTAGATGCGGAGGAAAGGAGGGAAATCGTGAGCGATTTCAAGCTTGGTCGATGTGGTTGAAGAAGAATCGGCGGCCATATCGGATTGAATTTTGTGAATGTTGTATTGTGATTTGATGAGAAGCCTTTTGGGTAGTGATGATTATATAAAGAAATGCGTGTATGCCGGTTTGGTTTGATAGTGCTTGGCTTGGGATGGCATTTCCGTTTCTCTCCAGTGATTATATAAAGAAATGAGCTGCCGTGGTGGAGACACGTTGAATAAAGAAAAAGGGTCGAGATTGGCTAGTTTTTGTTGCGTGCGTAGAAGTTGCCAGTAGACATGGGTGTCAACGTCTAGCTCGACACCGCAGTGAATGGAAATGATTTTCGTGTCAGTATATTAAATTGTAGTTTTAAAGGGAATAGGACAAAGGCCTAGAGAAATGGTAGGTCGGAGAGCCTTGACAAGAGTGTGGAATCTATGTCGGAATTGGCAAAGGAAGCCCAGTCGACAGAAGCAAAGCGCTCAGGCAAGCGATCCAGCAACACCTACTTCTTCTACCAGGCGACGGTAAAAGATGATAGGCTAGTAGACTAGCACTTTATGGCGTTGCATGGGTGTTGTAAAATATCGGACTGCTCAATTAGTACGATATTGTCCGCTTTGGGTCAAGTCCGCACAGTTTTACTTTTGAGTATCCTCCATAAAAGGTCTCGTACTAATTGGGCTAGGGGAACTCTAATATACAAGGGTTTCTTCCCTTTTATTTCCGATGTGGTACTTGGATTGTCTCATAACAATCCTCCCCTCAAGACAAGGACCACGAACATCGTGTCCTCACCTCAGCGATTATATTGATTCGCCAGACACCTTGTATCAATAGGCATCTCGTTCACCGTCCTGACCGAACCAGACTCTATTACCACTTGTCAAACAGGCAGCTCAATTAGTACGATATTGTCCGCTTTGGGTCAAGCCCGCACGGTTTTACTCTTGGGTTTATTCCCTTTTATTTCCGATGGGGTACTTGGATTGTCTCATAACAATCCTCCCCTCAAGACAAGGACAACGAACATCGTGTCCTCACCTCAGCGATTATCTTGATTCGCCAGACACCTTGTATCAATAGGCCTCTCGTTCACTGTCCTGACCGAACCAGACTCTGATACCACTTGTCAAACCCGCACGGTTTTACTCTTGGCTGTCCTCCCCAAAAGGCCTCGTACGAATTGGGCTAGGTGGACTCTAATATACAAGGGTTCATTCCCTTGTATTTCTGATGTGACACTTGGATTGTCTCATAACAGGTGTATTGAACTTATACCAAATCTTTTAATGAAAAAAAAGGTAAAATACACTTGTATAGCCATACTTTCACATTCGTGACAAATATAGCCATAATTATCCAAAAACACAAAATAGCCAAAAAATTGGATAGTCGTGTGACAAATTCAGCCATTTCCGTTAGAAACTTTAACGGTGTTAGAAACTCCGTTAGTTAGGTTAACACGTGAGCGACAACTCAACAACACTTGCCACGCAAGTGCCATGTCATATTTTAATTTAAAAATAAATTAGTTAATTAATTAATTATTAATTTATAAAACTTGAAAATATTATTTTTATTTTTGCCTTTTCAATTTCCAGTCTCCTCTCCATCTCTCATCATCTTCTTCGTCTTCCCCATCTTTTGTTCTCCGACCTAGCCAAGAAGAGGAAGAGTTTCTCTCTGCCCTTACGAATCGAATCTCCTCTTTCCCCTTCACCGACCGAGATCGAAGGAGCTGTTTGTTCAGAGGAGGAGAAGGAGTCGGCTATTGCGAGAAGTCAACTCCTCTCTCTCTCTCTCTCTCTCTCTCTCTCTCTCACTCACTCACTATTTGTCTTTCTGTCGACGGGTTTTGGGGGCGGAAAAGTGGAGAAGGGAGTTTTGCGTCCGAATTATGGAAACGAGGGGAAGGGATAATAGAAGATGAGTTTGGAGAGAGCGACAGCGGCGGGGACGGCGGTGAGGGGATACGGGAGCGTGGAGAGCGAGTACATTCATAACTTCGTCGCCCCCTGTTTTCTCTGGTCTCTGCTGTCAACCGCGGAGTGAGGGGAAGGGACGAGGGATTCAATCTGGGTTTGAGATTGAAATTGAATCTTACGGTGAGAAAACGGAGAGGTTGTGGCGTGGGGTAAGGGACAAGGGTTTCTTTGGTTGTAGGCTGAAGAAGAGGAGGAAGTAGAACTCCATCGGTGGGTATGGGTTTGCAGGCGGAGATCCTCGAGATAGTTGATGGTGATGTCTGGATTTGAAGGTTGCAGCGGTGAGGACCGACTGGCGACGACAACGACGGCGGTTGATGGAAGATAAAGGGATTAGTGGGACTAGGGATGCTCTTCCTCTAATAAGAATATGCGTGCTTCTGAAATAATAAGAAAAGGCAGAATTGAATTGGTGATTTTTGGTTCTATTGGATTTCTGAATTTAGGGAGGTGTTGGTTGCACATTAGGGGTCGTTTGGATGCAGGATTCCCCTGCGATTGCTGCTTCTTCCGGTTTAAAATGGAGAGAAGGAACATATCTAAAATGTGGAGAGAAGGAAGGAGAGAAATAACAGTTGTTGTGGCATGTGAGGAAGACGCCCAATGACTTTTGTTTTGTGAGTTTTTTTTTCTTTTAATGAATTAAGCGCCAGCGTTCTGGGTAAGTTTTTTGGTATGTGGCTAACCGAGCCTAAAACTGAAACCGACCGGTCGGTTGGCCGATTAACCACATCTCCCTCACGGTCGGTTGCCGGAAGCCCTTGAGGGTGGCTCGGTTTAACCGATAACAAACTTTCAAGTGATGTCACCAAAAAATTAAATGAGATTGACAAGACGTGAAATCAAAGAAGATTTATTTCATGTTAGGGTCACTATACTGTTTATAATACTACACATTTCCAATTTACTTCATTTTGATGTCGTTGATGGCAAAGCAATAAAAAAATGTTCAATAGAAATTTTGCTGTAATTTCTGATGACATGGGGTAAATAAAACTATTGTTTTCTAAAGTTCTATAAGAGTTCATTTCATTGCCTAAGTTTTTTTTTTTTTACTTTTCTTAGGGACTCTCATAAATGAATCGATTAGAATGTTGGAAACCTTTGCATGTAGTCCAGATTTTATTTTGTGATTATTAAATAATTTGGATTTTACTTTGTAATACCAAAAATATTGTATGTTACTTTACACCATTGCTTTTGTTGATTATGTTTTTGACAGAAATGTATCCGGCCAACGAGCGGACCCGAATCCAGTTGAATTAAAGAAGAGAGCCGAGATTGGATTGGCTACTTTTTGTTGGGTGTGTAGTAGTTGCTACTTGCTAGTAGGTTTGGACTTGGTGTCAACTTCAAAGTCGACAGAAGCAAAGCGACCCAATTCACTTTCTGTAACATTGAGCGACAAAACCGATACCCAAAAGAATATTTTACGGACTGATACCGTCAGGCAGCGAGCAAGTCTTAGCTAGCTAGCATAACCATGTCTAAGATCACCACCACATCAAGAGTGCCGTCCAACTTGACTATTCCATCCGTCCCATCCACACCAATCAGCCGATTATCTTTACCTCGCCCGCCGCCACCATTTCCAACTGGCTGTCACTGTCTCACCACTCCCTGAACACCAGCTCTATCCTGCACATTCCGCGCATAGGTGTTCTCATTCCAAATTGATAAGGTGTGGCTGCAGCCAAACATACATGAACGCAAACATATACGCATGTCTAAACACACATTTAAGGGAGCCATGGTATAAATTAAGGAGTACATTCACCAAGTATATATAGCTACCTACTTACCATTAGCATCTCTCATGGGAGATGTACAATGGAGTCCGAGAAGGATGCATGGGGGTCTCACTTCCGACGCCATATCGACTAGAATCACTGACAAAAACAAGTCAGCATGATTCAATACTCGAGAGAAGAAAGGCCACTAACGATTCAAGTAAAAGCATGCCAGCATTTTCACCGGTATGGGGCTGCATCCGCCACATTGTTAGAGATATCATTGCGATCAACTGCACAAGAACAATATCCACAAAGGTGAAACACTAGTTTCTATATACAAAAAAAAAAAAAAAAGGCAATCCTAATTGCAACATGATGCTACTTGCCTGTGACCACCTTCATTTGAGCCTCTAACTCAACTCTCACTGATTGACCCTTCATTCCCTTTACTCGCCCACGCTCTCCCTTGAACGGACCCCGTCGTATTTTGATTGTGCTACCTATCAAGCCACCTTGTCCTCCCCTTCTGCCTCCATTCCTTCCAATACATAAGTAAGACAATGATTAAAACAACAACAACAACAACAAAAAATGGATCAACGAAAACTGCTTACTGCAGCGCCACAGGATCATGAAGCTCATAATCTCCAATTTTGGTAACACCACCACTAGCCACCTCCGAGCACTCAACCACATCCCCAGCAAATACATGAATCTATACAAAGAAGAGACAGACAGACAGACAGAGTTTCTCAACAATAATCAAAGACATTAGCAGGGGCAGATGTTCATCAAGGAACTAAGAGAGAAACTTACATGTTCCTTTGTTGTATCCGACAGAATAATGACCACATGTTGATCAACCTTGACAACCATACCCGTTGCACCTTCTCGAGTTCCAGACACAACCTTGACATGATTGCCCGGTTCAAAATACTTGCCGAGGTCCTTCTCATGCACTCTAAGTGTTCTCTACAATAAAAATAATCAGTTAATTAGCTAGTCCTCAACAAATTAAAAATGAGAACTTGGTCAGTTTAGGGACTGGTCAGCTTTTGACCCTATAAGGATCGGGATAGGTCACTTTTCACCATGTGATCCTTAGCAATAACAAATATCCCATACCATATTGGACCTTTTTGTGAAAATTTTCAAAGTTTAGGTACTAAATTGCCAAAATAAAAAAATTTGGGTACCAAAATGTAATTTTACCATCAAAATTTAAGGACTTATTTGTAAAAAATAAAATTTTAGGTACTAAATTGTAAGAAAAATAATTTTGGTTACTAAAATATAATTTGTAAGATAGTAATGTGTAAATTAGGGTCGACCCACTAAACCTACCCGTCCCGACTCATCTCATCTCTTGAAAATCAGACAGGGTAAAAAAGATACAGGGACGGGACAATTATACGTCTTGACCCTTCAGGAGCGGGACAGAGACGGATCATGACAATTTTCAGCCCTACTCCCAAGAATAAAGCCTACTTAGATAAAAACACAGCCTTGCCATATTTAACTTACAGGTAGGTCCTTCGCTTCAGGTCTGATATGCACACTATCTGCCTCAACTTTCTCAACCCGTCCCTTAAGGTTCTTTAAATCACCTTTGAGAACAATGACTGCATCACCCTTCAAATATTGTTCTTTCTTCCGGTTTCCAGATAAGGCTGACAAGCTGATCCTACCATCATCAGAGTGTTCTCCGGGTTTACCGAACTTTTCAAGTTCATCAAAAGATGGCCTGATGTTTGCAGCAGTAACGCATTTCATCGCAACACTTTTGTACAGGAAACCATCACTGAACAATTTGCCATCCATCTTATCAAAGTAGTCGCCGGTCAACGGATCTCTTTTCCGCTCCACGTGAATATTAAGTTCCCTAACAAAAAGGTTATGAGATAAGAAGCATGCAAGACAGAGTTTCCTTGATGGCAACGACACCAGTTTCAGTAATTACCTAGCCTCGTTGATATTCATAAAGCGAGGATGAGGAGCAACTGCCTTCCTGGATTCCCCGGCTTCTCGTCCTTCCTGTTCAAGAGATATTTACTCGTAACTATGCTAAGCACACAATTTAATCACACTAACTACATCATCCAAAGCAAACTGCAGTATCCACAATACTTATCAAGACACAGTTTGTCTAGGAAGAAACATCTCTTCTCAAACTATGGCTGGCTATTTGGTCCGGACTGTTTGGTTTTACCCGAAACCGGACCGGGACCGGATAGCAAACAATCCAATCTCATATTCGGGCTTAGATTTGAGGTAAAAAAACCCGGATAAGAGTTCCCCAACACCTAAAATCAAGATAAAATTAGGACCGGACCGGGTTAAGACTTGACCGGATCAAGACCGGACTGTATCCAATCCAATCTTTGGTCCTTATATTCTCGAAAAGACCGGACTGGGACCGGATCAATTTGGTCCAATTTAACCGGACCGGACCGTATAGCCACCCCTATCTCAAACTACGGAAGATAACATGATTACAAAATTTAATCAAAGAACATTGGTAATTCATCCAAGAATAGCAAAAAAAAAAATATACTTAAGCCAGTAAATACATGGAGGAAATTGTGTACCAGTCTAGTAGCAATAGCCTGCATGTCAATTCTGGGAATCACCTTCACTGTGACTCTCCGTCGCACATTATCCACGTCAACTACCTGAAGAAGTGGGGAAATAAAAGGTTATTTGAGGAATCCACAAAAAAGAAGGCCTGAGTGAAGTTACAAAACATAGTACTTTGGCCAAGTCCCCTTTGTAAATTCCTGTCTTGATTCTGACCCAAGCATCCCTTGCAAGATCAACTTCTTTGCTTTCAACAGAAAGGACGTCTGTCATTTCTTTGATTGGGACAAGCTGGGGTTTCTGAGAAAAATATACATTCCGAAGCCCTTTGCATGCCTGAAACATACAATACACAGAAGCAGAAAAAAATGCATATTTTTAAACAAAAAGGATCAATTAATGTGCCCAAAATCATCCAAATGGAGTAAGAATTTGATTAAATGGATAATATCATTGCAAATTGCAATACCTCTCTCACGTGTGATTCTTTATGTGCTTCAACATATATATAATTCTCCAGGTGATCACGGGCAATAACAGATGTGATTTGCAACTGATCACGACCTCTATCAATGGACTTCTGCATGAGGCAGACAGCCATCTCTCGCTCACGTCCAGCCTAATATATATTCAGAACTCCATACTGTTATAGAAAAACAAGACAGAACAATCGACAAATAGCACAAAAGAACATAAAAAAAAAAGCATACCACACATTTCACCCTCCAAAACTTTGTATCATGTACACAAGGCAAGAGACCCTGTTGGCCTATCCCTGTTGCCTCTTCATCACTTTCACGTTGAGATGCTCTCGAATATCTTTCCTCGAGTCTTCTGACGATTTCGTACTCGTCTTCTGGCTCGTGCAATGGTCTCTGGTGAACCCGTCTGCCATCATCTTCCTCGGGTAGTTCCCGTCCACCATAATCAATAAAGTCTGCATAAGTTGAGAATGTACTATCAACAATCCTGTATATTTTACGCATATATATTTTTATGCTACGAGCCTCCACCAATCTTATTCACACCAATTGTAATGGTAATTTCACCAAATCACAAGTATGCTCGACTATTCACCGAAGCGACAAGATTAGAGAAATTGTAGACCGACGCAAAGTTCATCATCAAACCCCTAATTCAACAGAGCCTAAAATTCTAACATTCCAAACAACCAGAAAAAAAAAAAAAAACACTAAAATAGCGAGGCGAAACAAGGAAGGAAAAGGGGGAAATAAAATTCGCACCGATCCTATGAGAAACCCTAGCACATACTTACCATCTCCTCCATCGGCTTCGTCATCTTCATCTTCATCTTCGTCGCCATCCTCAACGGCCTGAGTTTCAAAGAAGCACTCACCCTTCTTTCTAGAATTTCGCCTTTTGCTCCGACTACCACCACCTCCATAGTCCTCATCGTCGTCTTCCTCGTTGTCCTCCACCGCGGCGTCGTCAATGAAACTAGATCGCGATCGCTTTCTGGTAGAGTTTCCTCGCTTCGCCATATATTCATAATACTCTTCTTCTCCATCGTCAATCAGTTGGTCATCTTCCTCCTCGTATTCTCCATCTTGAATCTCGTCCGGTTCTTCGACTCTTCTCCGCCGCATAGCTTTGCCGGTACACAACTTCCTCTTTCTGGCAAAAATTTCGCTTCCCCTCTGCTGCTGCGGTTGAAGAATCCTCGATTGTGGGATCATCGCGTCGATGGAAGGCGGCATTTATACCCTGCGTGTGAGCTGAAGTCAGGGCTGCAGGCTGACTTGAATCCGAATCGGAGAAGGAGAAGGATTAGAGTCACACAGCGGGAAAGTCTGATCATTTGAATAAATAAAGGAACCAAAACTGGACGTTTGGTTTAGGAGTCTAGCGGATAGGGTTCGTTGGCTCAAGATAGGGTGCGTAACCATGGGTTATGCACTCATCAATAACCAAATCTGGACCCTTCATTTAAAAAATCCAGATCTAAGGATGGAGAATTAAAGACTATTTTTATTTTCACTAGCTTTCTTAATTGACTCATATATTTTTCGTTTTAACTCGGATTTTAATTTTTTTTGCACAGATGGAACGAGTTCACCGTGCTCTACAAAATGAGATCAATTTTCAATATTTTTTTTGAAAAAAAAAATTCTGGCCTCTCGGTACCAACTGCATACCATATGGTATCTTCTTCGTTTTAAATCGTTTTTGAAAACGTTTGCACAGCAGGGATGAGTTCATCATGATCTACTGGATCTACAAATTTCTGGGTGAACAAATTACAGGACCAAAAAATACCACACAATACCATACAATACCACCCCGGGTACGGGGTGGTATTGTATGGTATCTTCTTCATTTTTAATTCGTTTTTGAAAACGTTTGCACAGAAGGGACGAGTTCATCATGATCTATTGGATCTACAAATTTCTGGGTGAACAAATTACAGGACCAAAAAATACCACACAATACCATACAATACCACCCTGGTACGGGGTGGTATTGTGTGGTATACAATGTTAAAAGTCGTAAATTACAATTAATATACTTCTACTATCATGTATTCAACCATCCTACCGTATTGGTTTGTTCATACCACCATGGTACGTTTTTCAAAACATAGGTATGCTTTTATTTCAATACCAGTCAATACCATATGGTATAGGCTGGTAAAAAATGGCTCAATTTTTTTTGTTCAAAAAATATATTAAAGTGGATATCATTTTGAAGAGCACAATTAATCTGATCTAACTGTGCAAAAAAAATTAAATTTCGACTTAAAATGAGGGAGAAATCGTCCGTCAAAGATTAAAAAGGGAAAAATTAAAGGCTTTCCATGAGAGAGAGGATGCTGATGTCATGCTGATGTGGACGGGTTACTCATGGTTACTCACCATAAAGTTACTGACCTGATCCATTCCCGGTTTCGTGGTATTGCTTCAATATAGTCATTGATGTTTTTGTTTAGAGCAAGGTTGTCAAACCGGTTAATGCCAGTGTGCCGGTTTAGCAAGTATAATGGTTCAACCGGTGGTACATACCGGTTTGTGGCGGTTCATGCCGGTCAATATTACAAATAAAATTATAAATACTCATATTTAAACATGACATTTAACGTCAATACCTAAACATTTATACTTGAATCCAACAAATAACATCAATATTTAACTTTTATACTCATAAGATAAATAATAAAATAATTTTTATCAATTAAATTCTCTAAAATAAGGTCATCTTACTTAGAGATTCGTATATCGATAATGCCGGTCATGGCGGTGGTGTCACGCCGGTTTTATGACCGGTACCGGTTGAACCCGGTACAACCGGTGGCACGCCGGCCGGCGTGACAACCATGGTTTAGAGTTATTTGAGTCCAGTTCAGGGTTTGAATTAGTTGTAGGTCGTTAGGATAAACAGCTGATTAGTAGGGTTGTTAGTTGAGTCATGGGGCACTAATCAAGGGACTGGGGTTTAGTGGAGATGTATGGTGGCCGATGTCAAAGGCTAAGTCATTATATTTAACTTTCTTTGATTCAGATCACTAAGACTTTGTCAGTTTGCCCCATAAGAGTTTACATTGTGGTATTAGTTGCAGGTCGTTAGGATAAACAGCTGATTAGTAGGGTTGTTAGTTGAGTCATGGGGCACGAATCAAGGGACTGGGGGTTAGTGGAGATGTATGGTGGCCGATGTCAAAGGCTAAGTCATTGTATTTAACTTTCTTTGATTCAGATCACTAAGACTTTGTCAGTTTGCCCCATAAGAGTTTACATTGTGGTATCAGAGCTCTGCAAACTGTAACTTGAGATTGAGTGTTGTGTGAAAAGTTCCGCAGATCAGGGTAGGGAAACATGAGTGATCAAGGGAAAATCATAACCTGGATGTAGAGTGAAAGCTCAATAGAGTTTGAGCAGAGAGATTCTATAGAGATGAGTGACAATGGAGGTTTTGCTGCTGTGGGCATACCCAAGTTCGATGGTGACTATGACCACTGGAGCTTGATGATGGAGAACCTGTTGAGATCAAAAGAATACTGGGGAGTTGTTAGTGAAGGATTTACAGAACCTTCGGCCACTGAGGTTTTGTCTGGTGTACAAACCTAAAGCTTGGAAGACCTCAGGCTGAAGGATCTGAAAGCCAAAATTACCTTTTCAGCTCCATTGATCGAGCTATCCTCAAAACCATCACCAACAAGCGGACTGCCAAAGAACTATGGGATGCCATGAAAACCAAGTATCAGGGGAGTGCAAGGGTTCAGAAGGCACAACTGCAAGCCTCGAGGAGAAGTTTTGAACTGCTCAAAATGAAGGAAGGTGAGACTATAACTGATTATTTTGGTAGAATGATGGTGGTAGCAAATTCAATGAGAAACTGTGGAGACAACTTGACAGATGTGCATATAGTTGAGAAAATTCTCAGAATACTAACTGAGAAATTCAACTATGTGGTATGTTCTATAGAAGAATCCAAAGATATAGAAACCCCGTCTGTTGATGCTCTACTGAGTTCTCTAGTTGTTCATGAACAAAAATTCCAAAAGAAGAGTGGAACTGAGGAAGAGCAGGCTCTTAGGATGAACTTTGAATCTGGAGGTAGAGGAGGTAGAGGTCCAGGAAGGGGAGGTTCTTATCAAAGACGAGGAAGAGGAAGAGGCTGGAACAAGGCAAATGTGCAGTGTTTCAGGTGTCCTAGATTGGGACACTTCCAGTATGAGTGTCCAGATTGGCACAACATTGGTCAAGCTAACTACACCAACACAGATCAAGGCCAAGGCAGCACTGAAGTATACATGAAGGAGGATGTGCTTCTCATGGCTCATGTGGAGGCTGTGAAGACTGAAAGTCCAAGAAACACAAAAGCAATCTGGTGGTTTGTTGACTCAGGTTATAGTAATCATATGACAGGGAACAGGAACTGGTTCACTAATCTTGACACTTACTACAAGGGAAGTGTCAGATTGGGAAATGATACAAAACTAGATGCTGTGGGAAACAGGACTGTGACGCTGATTATGGATCAGTTCACTCTCACCATTCAAGATGTGTTCTATGTACCAGGGCTCAATACTAACCTACGGAGTGTAGGTCACCTGCAAGAGAAGAACTTGGTCTTTTTCATTCAAGATGGTGGCTTCAAGGTGTATCACAAAGTGAAGGGATTATTGTTGGAGACTACACTGAAGTCAAATCACATGTATGTGATACATGCCAATCCAGTAGTTGAAGAAAAGAATCATATGATGCAGTGCTTGCAGACAGGAACCAATAGTGAGACCTCACTGGAGTTGTGGCATAGAAGATTTGGCCATTTGAACCGGTTGCCATCCTTCAGCTGTAGAAGAAGAACTTGGTTCAGGACTTGCCAACTCTGCAAGGAACTATTGGAGTCTGGTCCACCTGCATGATTGGCAAACAACATCGAAATCCATTTCCAAAGAAGAGCAGCAGGAGAGCTACACAGAAACTGCAGTTGGTCCATGCTGATCTGTGTGGGCCAATCACCCCAACTTCAAATGGAGGTAAAAGATACATATTTACCTTCACTGAAAATTACAGTAGAAAATTGTGGGTCTATTTCTTGAATGCCAAGTCTGAAACCTTAGAGCAATTTAAGAAATTCAAAGTACAAGTTGAGAAAGAAACTGGTTTGTCACTTATCTATCTGAGAACAGATAGGGGAGGGGAGTTTATGCTTTAGGAGTTTAGAGATTTATGTGAAAAGGAAGGAATCAGGAGGCAGTTGACAACAACTCTTACTCCTCAGCAGAATGGAGTTGCTGAGAGAAAAAAATAGAACAACAATGAATATGGTCAGATGTATGCTTGAAGATAGAAGGGTACCTGCTGAATTCTGGCCTGAGGCAGTGGCTTGGACTTCTCATGTATTAAACAGAAGTACAACAGCTGCAAATGCAAAAAAGACACCTCAAGAGCTGTGGACAGGTGCTCCTCCATCTGTTTCACACTTCAAGGTGTTTGGATGTGCAACATATGTGCACACCTCACAAAGAAGAAAACTGGACAACAAGAGCATTCTGTGCTATTTTCTGAGATTATCAGTGGAGTCCAAAGCCTATAAACTCTATAATCCCTCTACTAAGAAGGTGGTGATAAGCAGGGATGTGGTTTTTGATGAGTCAAAATGTTGGGACTGGAAGTCTGAGGTGCCACCTTCACCAACTAAACTAAGCTGGGAAGGAAGTGAAGATGAACTGTATGAATCAGATGATGGGGATGACACTGCTGAAGAAAATTCAGCAACCCCAGATGATCAAGCGCAACAAAGAATCTCGAGTCCTGCTCCAATCACACCTCAAACTGGAAATCAGACTGAGACAGAAGGGGAGGACTCAGATCCTGAATCTCCAACAGATAGTTTGGGGCTGCCTACCTCATGTCTTGGTTCTAGGGTGAGAAAACCTCTTGCTCGGTTAGCAATATATGATTGCTCACACTACATTGATGCAGACTGGTGGGCCATGGTAGTCACTACCACTGATCCATTAACCTATGAGGAAGCTGCTGAAGATGAGAAGTGGAATGCAGCAATGAGAGAAGAAATGAACTCCATTGAGAAGAATCAGACCTGGACTCTAACCACACTACCTCCAAATGTCACTCTAATTGGTTTGAAATGGATCTACAAGACCAAACTAAAGGAAGACAGCTGCATTGATAAGTTCAAGGCAAGACTAGTTGCTAAGGGGCTACTCACAAAAGGCTTGGATTGATTACAATGA